CTTAACCACTGATTTAATTTTACCAGAAAACTGGTGTGTTTTTTGAGAGCAATAATACTCCCTTAAAACAAGTCTTTTGGGTTTAGGTGTAAGACAGTCAATGTTTCTCAAATATTATCACCATGAATTTTTCTTGACAGATTTCCAAGTCCCGTATTCATACCAAAATTTTTTCTTGATTTAGTAACTAGACAAAAAGGCTGGCTTCATTTGTGTGAACCGTTTTTGCAAATATGTATGTACTTGGATGCCCTTAAATTCCCCAAGTAGAAAGAAATGCTTTCCACGAAGCTGCTTATTCCTAGTAACCCACATCAGAGCTGACACATGAAAAATGGTGAAATTACTGAAGGTAGTCCAGCCTGAATAAGGACTACCTTATTAGTTCAGGTACTTGCATCTCCCTAATTTTCATATTAATCATGTGTCCATCTTTCTCTGAAATAGGGCCATCATGCTTCATGTCAGAATTTAGCATGTAAGTAAAATTCATAGTGCTTCAAATCTCACTTGAAAATATTTGTGTGGAGAGAACAGAATGACGGATCTTATTATTACGAACAAACTGAGATTTCCTAAAATGTTCATTTTTAGCCTTGAAATAGGAAAATTGGTATCAAGACATTTATAAAATCAATAATGAACACATATAGTCCCTACCCCCAAATCAACAATAATATAGTGTTCCCGGTAAGAGAGCCGCTGCACACTGTGATGTCCCAATGTCATATATTTCTCACCAGTTTTTACAGTTTCCACTGATTAAATACATACTGTCTCATAAAGCATCACCATCACGTCAGTTGTCACCAGATGCAAGCATATGTCATTCAGGTATTAACTATCATATAACAATGGCAGCTTGGTTGTTCAGAAGCCATAATCTGATACCAGTCATTCCTAAATTTCCCTAATACATTAGCAATCTCTCTGAGAACTCTTATATCTGTACTAATCAGCAGCGAAAAAAAAAGAGAGAGAAAAAATCTTTAACTACTTCTTTTCTTTGGTTAAATATTGCTATATGTTCACAGTAAATAACATATTGACATAGAAAAAAATGTGTCAGTGGGTTAAAATTTTCCATATTACTAGAAGATGGAAGTTGAGGTCAGCTAAATAAGCTAAGCTCATCAGAAATCTCCATTAAAAATTCAAATGAATACAAACTGCTACTATATAAAACGTATGCCATCAATATCATCTATAAAAATGAGCACCGCGTTTGCATTGCACTCTTTCTAGGCGCTGTACCTAGAATGCTGTTAGTTCACTCTCCTTTCTCATAAAGGACAATCACTAAATCCTAGCTGTAAAATACCTCCCGTTGCTAAAAGAACTGACTCGCAACAAACAAGTATGGAGACATTTAAAAACCACCTTGGCTTTTAGAAATAGAAAAAGAAGATGAATAAAATACGTGTTTTGCTAGGAGGGGAAGAGAAATGCATTCTATATGTTAACTATCCTATCAGATGGTGTAGACATTGCCTAGACTATTAAAACCTTCTAGTAACTGATGGGTAATTGCTCATGTGCTGACTGTAGTGGTGTACAGCAGACAGAGGCTGTGAGAGAAGCCATCCTTCCTTGCTAATGTAACATGTAGAACTTGCTGCTACTGCAACACTTAATGCTCACAGCACCGAGTCATCTTTAATGCAAACACACATTTTCTGCCTTGCTTCTATGTTTTCCATTATAATGCAACACGAAAACAGTGTACATTTCATTCCATCCCTATGAGGTTTGCATAAGCAGTTCCAAGTCAGACTAAATATTGTATTGCTCTTATTATAGTGGATAAATATTTTAAAGTTTACGAATTAAATATTTTATTTTTTTCAGTAGGCTCTCTGCAACTATTATGAACTTTTTACCGCTTCTTCATTCGTGGGAAATCTTTAGGGCTTCCTTTTTCAAATGTAAGACAATTATTGGTTTCCCTGAACAGAAGCAGATCAGAGTTAACAAATAAGTTGAATAAATCACTTTATACTTGGTGTTAATAAGAACAGCGTGCTTCTTCATAAAAAGAGACTTTTCTACAAGGCATGTACCTTTTATTATAATAAAAGTTTGCTAACAAAAATAAATAAATCAAGTAAATGTTACATCTTTAATTACACAGCTCCTCTCTTCATTTTTAAAATTGTTAGCATAGACTTTCTTGGCATACATCTCTTTACTTGACACAGGTATTTCTCACACTAAATTAAGACAACACATCCAAAGAAGAACATGTACTGAGCTGTTTGGTTGAAATTTCCCACAAAATAAGAAACCAAGAAGTTGTTTACACATTTTCCTCAAAAGAAGCAGACTGATTATGTTCATTGATGTATCAGTATATGAAGTTCATTGTCCAATTGTTAAAACTACAAACAGACTAGGGAGCCATTTACATGTCGAATGCACCTGAAAATCTTTTTTCTTCCCAAAGGTTAATTATAATTCTAAGCAAAGCTACTCTAGATAGGCCCCTTAGGTTTCATGCAGGTTTAAATGAAATAATAACGATAACATTACCTCATTGGCCAGTTCCAGGAGCACCGGGGCTGCTCCATTTCTCCCCACTCCATCCAGGTACCTAGACAAGACAAAGCCAAGTGGTGATGCAGTGACAAGAGGAGGCCAGCATAGACTTGTCAGCAGCCCCTGTGTGCACACGTTTCTCCTGGGCACACGCCACACTCAACTCTAGTTAAAGTGTGCTACTGTCACAGGCAGGCATTGAAGGGAAAACATAACAAAACGACTTACCTCCAAACCACTGGCAACGAGTGGACGTTGGGGGCAGGAGACATGAGCACACCAGCCTCCCTGTTTTCACTTCCCACCAAGTCAAGTGCACACAGAGGTGATTTCAAAAGCGATCCCTGTCATCCTGGCTTTATCCACACCACAACCTTCTCATGGAGAGGATATAAGTTCACTGAGGATTTGAGAAAAGCATCCACAAACCCATATGCCTTATTTACTTTTGTTTCATAGGACTGGTCGACACTTTATTAAAAAAGCAGTGGCGCAGATTGTCATCAGTGGGTCAGTACCCCTTTAACAGGCACTACAGCCGTCATCGACCGGCCCTGCGGGTCTTTCATACCCTCCAGCTCTCCTCACCCCTTACCACCCCCTCGACAAAAGAGAAAACTAAAAGTCCCCAAATCCATCCGACACATGAAAGCCAAAGTGATTTTTTTAAAGCAAAAATATGAATGTATCCTTCTCCTCAAAGCACTCCAAAGGCCCCACATTAAATCTCAGAATTAAATCATAACCACTTAAGCTGTTGTAAGGTTCTTCCAAGTCTGGTGCCTATTTGGTCAGCCTCCTTTCTAGTCACTGTTCCCCTCTCCGACCTTCGCCTGGAGAACTCATGATTATTTCTATGTGTCACCACCACAAACCAAAGTAAGTTAAGTGTCCCTCACGTACATCGAAGCGCACCTTGTGCACCGCCCCGTCATCTAACGTAGCATACTGTATCTGCGTGGTTCCTGTCCGCCTCAAGCCCGTGCCCGTGGTGAGGCCGAAAGCCCCAGGGGAGGACAGGCCTAGCACGATTCTTAGCTTATCATAGGTCGTTACATTATACATATCGATTTTTTCTTTAATAAATGATTATATTATACACATGTATTTTCTTTTATAAATTAAATAATTTTAAAGCCATATTGGGCAATAAAATACAATTAAATGTGGATATTTTCTCTGTAGTATACTGTTTGAATGAATAAATTAACAATATTTGTTTGATAGTAAAAAATCAAAGTCAACAGAAGAGGTCTTACCAAAAAAATGCTAGAGGCAGATATTAAATTATATTATTTCACAAGTATGCTTATGAAGATGTATGATTTTCCTATAAATTGAGTGGAAATAAAGCATTTTATTCAAGGTGGGGAGTGTGTCAGGATCATTAACACTCCAAAGCAATTTTAACAAGTCTATTTTCTCCATACTGGAACCACTTTTGAATAAATTTTTTTGGAATGTAAGTGGGAAAGAAGTACTTTCAGAATCAAGGGAATGGGGTTGGGATGGGGGGAGGCAACTATGGTTTAGAGAATGGTCCCTGGGAAATAGGTCAGCTAGGAACCTCCCACTGCACTGACAGGTGTGCGCAAGGAATGACCAATCAGTTCAGTCGAGTAAGACCAGCTCATCGTCTGTCTGTAACCACCAAAAGCGCACATGCATTAAGGGTTCAGATTCTGGGTCAGAGTCGTTACGCCCACACTGATACTAGGATATCTTTATACCTTTCTACTCAACATTCATTCACCCACAGATACGGAGAGAGAGCTAGCTGACTGACGTGTGCTAGGCCTAGTCCAGGTTCTGAAGCAACAGCAGGGCACAGAACTTCCATGGCTCCTGCCCTCCCAGAGATCACATTACAGTGGAGAGAGACCCTGCAAAGGCAGAAATAAACACATAATATAAAGATGTACGTACAATAAAATGCAAGCTTAGGTGGGCTGGTCGGAAGCCCACCTCTAGGGAAGTAGCACCGAGTGGAGGCCCGCAGAAGAAAGGGGAAAGCCAGGGGAGGAAGAGCAGGCCAGCCGGAGAACAGTGGGTGCCAGTGTCGGGAATGTGCTGGGCGTCCAGGACCAGCAAAGGGTCAAGGGTGACCAGGGCAGAGCTTGTGAGAGCAGACTGGAAATAACGAGAGAGTAGCTGGACCCCAGACCATGGCCTCTGCTAGAGAATTGTTGTTTTGCGTCCAAATTACATGGTTTTATGTAAACATTGCATTGATCATTATCTTGGTCATGACCAATGAAAGATTTCTATTATGTTTAAAGTAACAGGAGATGGTCAAACAATAATAACTCTATCTATACGGTCTTTATAATATTTGAAGTATACAGTGGAAAGTCCTAATTAGGAGCTTGACAAAGCTTCCCAGTTGGTCATGTGAGAAACCAAACCCCAAGGAATTGATGAAACCCATCCGGGCTCTCTTAACTGGCAACCAGTAAAGTTTTGAAATGGAATCCTGATCAACCAAGGTCTACTGAGGAGCCTTCCAACGTTGAAAAGGTAGAATTGCTTCTGAATGTATTTACTCCCAAATCTGTTTCCCCACTATATCCTATAACACTTCAGAAAGTGCTAAGGAAAAGAGGTAAAACTAATCTGAAGTTGTATTTGTCCTTTCTGAGAACTTTAATTGTCCCCCACATAAAGTGACAGTTCAGGTATATGCATAATTTTGATATATGATCAAAGAGGCACGCTAATTACAGATGATATTCAGTAAGGACATAATCAGATATTCTTATGCCACCCTTCCCTTCACCCTCAAAGCATCCTATGCAAACTTATAGCACAGGCTTTGCACACAGTTTCTTTCTCTCTCCAACTAGAATGGAAGCTCCCTTGGGTGGGGCTACACAGATGAATGTTGAACCTCCATCCAACAAACAGATCCTTAGCAAAGATCCAAATTGCAAGTGGGAACATAAGGATGTGATCCTGAACCCTACAGTATTCAGGTGACCTGGGCTATCTTCCTAATGCCTATTTGCAAATAAAAACTACTTTGCACAGAAGATATATTTACCCTCTAGCTTTTCCACAGGAAGTCTAACACATATGTGTCTTGTGGGTGAGACCATTCTGAAAAGAACTTCAGAGAAGGTCCATTTTATGTTTTTTGAGTGTGAAAGATATATTTGCATCTAGAATTAAAACACTATGTAAGATCTTAAAGATAAGGCAAAGCTAGGTTGCCTTTAAAATTTTCATAACTCTAATGGCAAAACTTAGAAAACCTACCAATTCAATGAAATAAATAAAGCTAATAGACGGTGTGTGTTGGGAGTAGGGAGGAGATGAGAGATAATATTTCTAAACTTTGCTATTGATGGGGACTTGAAAATCTGACCAATTTGTGAGTGTGTCTGTGTGTGCACACACATTTTATCAAGCATGTTTCCCATTTAGAAATAGAATGCCATTAGTACAGTGGGAAAGAATAGAATTGTTTTCAAAATAAACAAGCCGTGACTAGACATACATAACACAAAGAACTGAAGAAATTTCCTCAATAATTCAAGTTTGAGAAAACATTTTCTAATGATACTGGTATGCTGTAAAGTTTCAGTGAACCATGATGGAATCACATTTCAGTTATATGGCTTTAAATACAGACTTTGAATTCTGAATTGAGATCATCTCACTGCTAGCAAGAATACAAAGACTCAGGAATTCTCGAAAATTGCTACTACAAAAACCACTGCAACCTTTCTAGAGAGTAATGTGGCAACACAGAATAAAGTCTTTAAATGCTAAATGTTTGTAGCAGTAATCACACATATAGAAATATTGAGAACCTAATCCAAAATGCAAAGACTTATGCATCGAAATGTTTATCATAGCATTATTTATAAAATGAGAGCCTTGGAAACATGTATGGTCAACAGAGGATAATTCGGTAAATTATGACACTTTTATATGATGAAGTAATGCAATCAATAAAATGTCTACAAAAAGCTTTCTACAAAATAATATTATGTCATATACATTTTCCAAATATAAAATTCAGGATTCACAATTGCATATATAGTATGACCTCATTTATATAAAAATGGATTGACAAAAGACTAGAATGAAAAATACCAAAGCGGTTATCTCTGGGTACCACAAGTACGGGCTATCATTCATTCCTTTTGAAACCATCAAAAATGTGCCTTATTTTCACAATAAGTGAATATGGCTTTTGCAAAAGCAAAAAATGTAAAGAAATCAGTAACATCGTCAAACTTCTAAACTATGTGTTGATACAGTACAATTTGCCTTTCTTCTGACCAGTTGGAAAACAAAAACCTTTCAAGGCCAATTTACCATAGAGAACACAGGGACATTCAACCTGCATGTTTAAAACCAGAGGCCTGTAAGCAGCATGGGAAAGTGAGAGACTCATCACACTGCTCTCCTCCTGGTCTGTCCACCACAGCCTGACTTCACATCTTTATTTCGGATTTCATGGCTCCTTGAAGTAATCGAGACTCTCGCATTTCAATAAATGTAGAGAAATACAAATATATTTCTGTATTCTCATTATCACCAACTCAACAATTCTTTGAGTAACCATACAAAAAGGAAAGATTTCTATTTCTGGTCTAAACTACACACATAATCCAATAAAGTATGTTCGTACTTTAATAATTCAATAAACTTCTTAATGAAACTAAGATTTTAAAAGGCAGCACTTAGAGATCTTGGAAATCGTCTACTGAAACTTCCTTTTTACAATGAGAAAACTGATTATCAGCGGGCAGACCCACAGCCTCATGGGGGGGGGGGGGTCTCCAAATTCCTGGGAAATGCTCCATTTTCCTTCACTTCAGTTAACAACGCTTTAAAATCTGGACATAGAACCATACTTTCAGTGGTGGCCAAAGACTGCTATTTTTACAAACAAGGATGTATCTCTGACAGGTAAAGAACTTTCCAGTCTTTCCTTGGAGGGTCTGAAGGCCAAAGCAGTTGTTGGCTTCACAGCACTTCATGAGTCATTCCTAATTTCATGTGTATGATTTAGGTTATGGCTTCAACTTATATGTTATTTTCACTAAGGAGAGTATGACTTTGAATAAACCAATTCAAACTTCACATTCTCCTAGACACAACAGTTGTGTGTGTGTGTGTGTGTGTGCACGCACGCGTGTGCACGTATCTTTAACAGACACTATTACTGAAAACTGAATGAATCCTTTCTCATATACAGCATAGTGTGTAATTTTTAGAAATTCTAACTTCAATAATTTTTCCTTTCAATAAACAATTCTTGATCCTTAAAAGATGACCTTACAAAAGCATGATACCAGTATTTTCTCTATATAGTAATTTCATTCATAAAATTTTCATGCGTAAAAATCATTCATCTAAAATTAGTAGTGTCACTCTCCACAGAAAGGTTGATCTGTCAATCTTAAGTACAATAATTTAAGAGCATATTTCAAACAGTTTTCCTTTCCAATATGCCCTTAAAATATTTAAGAAACCAACAATTTCTAATGAAAACCATTATCATTTACCATTATAAATTATTCAGTCATATTACAAAGCCAGTACAATTTTTTTAAAAGAGCTGTTTAAAATATTCTGTTTGTTTTAGAGTGTGAAAACTATTTATAATAAATTAAGCTGAAATTAAGTATCCCATGGAAACTATGATGTTGATTTAATAGCCAAGATTTTCATTCTTTGTTTTTTCAATATGTTTTTATTGAGTTTTTAGAGAGAGAGGAAGGGAGAGAGAGACATAGAAACATCAATGTGAGAGAGAAACATCAATCGGCTGCCTCCTGCACACCCCCTACTAGGGATCAAGCCCAAAACCCAGGCATGTGCCCTGACAGGGAATAGAACCGGGACCTCTCAGTCCATCAGATGATGCTCAGTTCACTGAGCCACACTGGCAGGGCCAAGATTTTCTTTTTAAATTACAAAACCCCTTTTAAAATGTGTCAATCATACATTATTATATATCTTCATATGCTCTTACTTGGTGTATGTCTTTTTCCACCCCTAGAATTGCTAACCCAATACCCATGCTACAAAATACAACTGCACCAAAATTCAATCTTATTTTCTAATATATCTTTCAACTTTCAGATCTAAAGAAATGAAAATTGGTTTGAGAACTTTCAGACAAACATGTAGATGTATGTATGTATATATGAACATATAATAAGACATGCACTTATAATAAGTTTCCAGTAGTCAATTGAGATTTTATAATATCGTAATGATTTCCTACATAGTATGGTATGCACACTCTTAATCAAGACAGTCTCACCACATTCTTTAAATCTACAAAACAAATCACTCAAAAACATATTTGAAGTCTTAAATAACAGACTCAAAACAAAATGCCTTCAAATGGTATACAGAAAATTAATTTAGCAATCTAATTTATTCATAATTATTATTACAATTAATAGGTATTATGATACCCTCTAGTGGGGCAGGCAGGTCATACCTCTGGTAATAACTTTCAATCGCTTCTGAAGTATGATGCTTGGCGTGTGTTCTTTTAATATGTTTCTGAAACAAAACAGAAAAGATCTTTATGCTGTGTCACAGATGAGGGTCAAGTACAAAACTGGCACATTTCTACAGCCCACTGTCTAGCACACAGGGCAAACTGAGGAACAGTCTGGGGGTTGTGGTGGTGGCAGGTCTTTTTTCCTTCTACACCATGAACCTATGCATTTTAATCTCCATTGCTTGGCTGGGATGTCTTCAGACTGCACCAAAAGGTACAGTATGTATGTAAAAGCCAACAGGGTCAGAGTAATTGAATCTAAATAAGTTTGCTTAGGGTGGCAGAGGGCAGAGAAAAACTTGTTCCCTCGAAAACCTTTGTATTAATTTCCCCTCAATTCAATTCCATCTAAGTCCTCTGCACTCTGGTTTTACAATCCAATTGCCATTTTTAACCAGGACGAACATTGCTTAAAAACAACTTATTTGAAAACTACAAAAAGTAATTCCATCGAGACTTGCCACTTGACTGACACCTGTCATCTCATGATAAATGACTCCATTTTCTGCCTCTCTTGCCTTCTGCCACTCCAGCAATGGTCATTTATCATCATCTCTGTCAGCAATGGAAAGCGGCACTGACAGTGCAAGTCAGCAAACATTTAGCACATGGAACCACGCAACACAGGGAAATTATTATTGTCAGAATAATAATGGTTTAGCATAATTTATTACAGGTCCACCAAATAAGCAAAGGCTAGATGTTATTAGACAGATGGATGGGTAGGCTTGGCAGGCCTCCACTGAGACGCAGGCGGTGCTTGATGTGGAAAGGAGAACATCCTCCAACCCAATCAGAGAGCTGGCAGTTCAATTACAAAGAAATAAAGGGACATTCATCATTCAATTAGGCACCTGTCAGCCCTCACAAAGGAGAAAACTTCTAACCTGGTACTCCTGGGAGAAGATGCTCAGCAGAGTGGCCTGCGATTGACTGGAACAAATAAAAGAAGGACAAAGTTAATTACTGGAGTGCACCGCAAAGAAACAAAAGAGAAAGGAGCTTCAAAGGTAGGCCTGCTGCCCTGTAATCTAACAGAACATGAAAACAAGTGTGGAAAAGTTGTTCCAGATGAACACCTCAGACAAAGGCTTCCTGCTGCTAGGTCAAGGGGAGAAAGGGAAAGGGGAAAATGTGGATGGTCTCAAAGCCAAGTACCCTGTGATGTGGATACTTCTGTAAACTTTAGAATGACTGTAAATCAAATCTGTAGCACGCAGTGATGTGAAAAGGGACCAAAAGCAGGTAAGGTTTATTTTCCATTACTAAATGAGAGAGTTAAGCCTCAGAGACAATAAAAAGGGGCGGTGCATTCAATGGAAACGTTCTGAAATTTATTTTGTTAGCAGACAGGTATCCTCTTCTGTTGCTATCTCAGATTCAGGGGAAATCAAAACTTTGGTCTTCACTAGAGAGAGCAGAGGCCACTGGGACGTTCCCACTGATGCGGGTGTGCTTTGAAAACAGGCGCCTCCACAGCTGGAAGCCGAGGACCTGGAAGCCAGTCATTGCCAAGGGCTGCCATTCCCCTTCTCCCTCTGACGCCACAAAATGCCAGACACCCGCCAAAGAAGCCACCTGAAAACATTCTTCCCAAGTGGGAATTCTTCTCCCACAACTGTGACAATTTAAAAATGGAACAGGATATTTTTTTATCTCTAAAAGGCAATCAGTGCCCTGTTGCTACTCTTTTTGATTGCCCTCTGTAGATATATCTACCTTATCGTATCTTGAAAACAATTAATTATCTCTCATATAATTTCCTACTAAATGCTATCTGAACAAATTACAGTGTTAATAATTTGACTTTTACAGTACAACGGAGCACTATGAATAATTAATTATTTTTCTATTCAAGAATGAAACCTCTTGAGCTCATCATAGGTGATTTGGGGAGTGCAAAATAAAAACAATGACAGCATGTTTCTTTATTCAGTCTCATTTTTATCATTTTCTGCATTCCTTCATAGATGTGGCTTCTAACCCCTTTCCACTCTTATCAGATTACAAAAAGCAGGTTAAGAAAAAAAAAACCCACATAAATGTTTACTGAGGAAAACTGGTAATTACTGAAGGATGGTTTCAATAACTCAAAAGTACTGAGAAATTAGTGAATACAATTACAAATTCATTATAGTCCAATTTTTTCAATTTCCCTTTAAAAATGGAAACCACCTTTGAAAGAGCCCATTTTATATATAAAATCTTATTATGCCTGGCTTTCCTGCATTTTACATGCAAATCACATACCCTACCTAGTAGGGTTGCTGACAACCTTCTTCTAAAAAAAAAAAAAGGCAAAATTAAGCCCAAATCTTTGTAAACCACTGAATAAGTCAATACATTAGATATATTTGTGCAATGACTGGAACCCCTCCTTGGTGTAAAGCAAAATATATATGTTAATATAAATATTTATGGTAGATAAAATATCCATCTTAATGTATCAAAAAATACGACTGGAAAAATGTGCCTAATGTGGTCAAGTTGGGGACCAATGACAAGAGAGGAGGAAACTAAACTGTGACTAAAAATAAAAAATAAACAGCTGTAACTGTAGATGCCAGAATAGTAAGGCTAGATGAGATAATGTCTTTAGTCAGGAAAATGTCTTTAAACTGCTTAGAATTCAACTAAAACTGTGGACACAGACTATGGAGCAACCCGTTCTCTCAGTGGCCAAGAGGATTAAGAGAGAAGGTTTCAACTTGCACAGGGAGTGAAACTGGCTAGACCTAAAATGAGCAAATGAGTTACTTGATGTGATAACAACAGAAAGTCAGACCTGGGCCCAACACGCTTTAGGCCTGGTGGACTGGACGAGCTGCAGAGAACTAAACGGCCTCTGCCAGCTGTCCGCCAGCCTACTCTGTTTGTGTGCGCTCAGCTACAGAATGCAAGGAGCAGGAAAGTAGTTTTAACTGTCCAGCTAAGGTGCAACGAAGACCTTGAGTCCAGTGTATATTTTTTGCTTCTTTCTTCCAACATGTTAATTCTGAGAAGGTGGGCCTTAAATACCAATCAGCAGTGTTCAATAAGTATCTATAATGTCCTAAGGTCATGGTTATTGTAAACTATGGCATCAAAATAAAAAATTAAATGAGGTGGACAGAAATTGACCTAGAAGAAACTTTCAACATATAACCACCCCACCCCCATTAGAACACTGTTAAGTATTCATATAGTTTTTAGGTCTCCGGTGAAGTAAATCATACCCTGAAATCTCACATATTTCAAGACCCCACTGGCTTTGGAACATATATCTGTCACTTAGCATACAAATTTCCATATTCAAAAATACAGTCAATTTACACAAATGTCCAATATTGCATTAAAACCTCTTCAAAAATCAGTTTCATGGTTTTTTCCCCCCATGTTAACCTCCCAAATTACATTCCTCCCCATGTCTGAGAAAGGAGCAATTGGGAGGACCCCTAGAATGGCCATGTAAAACCTTGCCCAAGCCCTATGACAAATGTCTCTATGGAGCAGCAGCAGCCATATTGCAGCAATGAGGAAAGAAACATGAGGACAAAGCCTACACACTGAGGACAGTGCGACAGAAAATGGAAAGAACCCAAGTCCTTGAGGAAGGACACTGTTGAACTGCTCAAGAGACCACAAATTGAACTGACCAGACTCCATACGTCTTTGGAGAAATAATACTTTTTTTTTTAACCCTAAAAAACAAAGAAATAAAACTGCCCAGGTTTCTATGTGCCCTGGTAAGGAGGTGCTCCATCCAGATGGCATGTGTACAGGATGTAATACATAAAAGGGTTGTCCATTTTTACACTTTCTAAATCTCTTCTTAGCTGGCAGCTACTGTATTTGACTTCCTTAAAACTGTTCCATCACTGTGACAGTACACTGATGCGCCCAGAGATCATAAATTGGTGTGTGTGTGATTTTTCCATACCGATGTTAAACACTGACGGTATACCATTCATCCTCATTTTATATTGCATTCACAGCATTTCAGATGCGAGGTATGTCAAAACAGGCAAAAACTCAATTCCCCATATAATATTTCACTAAACATGTCCCCAAAACCATCCAGCTGAGACACTCAGTGACCTGAAAAATACTAGAGAAAATGAGGGTTGGACGGATACAGCACAGACGAGGAGCAGAGCTCAGCACACACTTAGTTGCAACATTCATATGAAAGGCAAGTCCTCATGCTCCCGGGTGGAGACTTAAAACAAGTAAAATCTTAAGGGAAAAGATACTGCATATTTTATGTCCTTCCTCTTCCCAAGTGCCAAACTTCTGAAAAGAACCATAAAGAAGTAAAACCGTTATTTAATTTTAAGCTCTTTTTGCTACAGAATCTAGGAAGCATACATGTCTACATTCTAGTGGGCTCAAAATTACATGAGCAAAACAAGTATTATTTCTGGCACTCAGAGAGCAGTTAACCAATTAAAGGGAGATAAGGCAGGAGACTCCTACAAAGCATTAGGCTCCGGATCTCACAATTACAAGGCATAAACAACCTCTCTAAATCTGGGAAAGAATTCAAAGGAACACTGGCTCTGTGTGATTGCTGATTTGGAGTACTAGTCAAGGAAGGCTTTCTATGAAAGAGATACATCTACCCTCCTTCATATACACACCTACACGCAGATTTGAAACACAGAGCCTTTTTCCTCTCAAAATCAAAATGGAATACAATAAAAGAGCAAGACTGGGTACAGTCCCACTAACTACATTTTTTTTTCTTTCAGGAACGTACAATGCACAGGGGGAAGAATCTGGGGGATTACTGTGGAGAAAAAAGGAAAAATAGTTCAACTGAATTCAGGAAAGAGAGAACATTTTATCCATTGTACCGCCCCCTCTCCCATTTCTTCTTTCTAATTTCTAACTTCAAATCAAGGATTCAGACTATAATTTATGCCTAATCATAGCAAATGCTCCCATAAATGATCATATGGATGACAGCATTAAGTTTAGCAGTAATCAACTATCCCCCCAAATTCTTAAGAGTTATATTTATGTTCTACATAGAAAAAAAGTAGTTACTGTCCTAGGCACTTCATTAATTTTGCTGATAAACTTAAATCACATGCAAAACAGCTTTACAAGAAGAGCCAAGCTTGATATACTGAAGCTCTTTATTTTACCCTCAACAACCCTCTAAGGTAGGTACTATTATTGTTCTTACTTTGAAGATGGAGAAATGAAAGAACAACTGTTAAGTAGAATACACAATTAAAGAGCGAGGATTAGCAGTATAGCTAGAAATCAAAATCCATATCCAATTCCAAAACCCAAACACTTAACCCCAATGCTAATTTGCTGTGCTAATAGTTCCCAGAAATCGGTTCCGCACGTCATGTGCACGTACCAACACCCCTGCAAGCACTGCCTGTTACATTACCCTCCAAACACCCTGAAAGGTGAGCATCGCTAGGGTTTTGATAGAAAATGGAAGCCACAGGAGGTCTGGCATTTTAATCAGATTCCATGGTCTTAGACAATAATCCCTTTTCAAAAAAATCAAATTACAGTTTTCCTTTACTTAACTACATAAAAATGCTGTTCTTTTTTAGAATGTTGAAAAGTAAAGGAACGACTGTCTACAGGAAACAGTTGAGGATTAAAAACTGTTGGGTAACTTCATGATCCTCCCCGCAGCTAAGGAATATTTTGTTAACAACTATACATTTGTCTGAAGTGTCTCTGTGACTGCCCATGTGTCTTTTGCTCAAATGCTATTTACTGCATATGAAGCACCTTATTTTTTTATTTTTATTTTTTGGCACATACCCCTAGCAAGAACCGAACCCAGGACTCTCTGGTCCGCAGGCCGACACTCCATCCGCTGAGCCAAACCGGCCAGGGCTACAAAGCAGCTTTAATCCTTCTCTGAACAACACATATATACACCATATCAATATTCTCTACAGACGACAATACTCTCCATA